TAGTGAACAATGCATTACCATTGGGATTGCTTGTAAGCGAGTTCCAGTAGGAATGCTTACTGTTGAGGTCTCCAGCTATTCGTTAATCGCTAATCCGTTACCAAGAAAGTTAACTTCGTTAAACGTTAAAGCGTTACATTTCGGTACATTTAACGCAAGTTATCGTTAATCCGTTAACACGTGATTAAAATGCATTTATTGCGCTAATGATCTACTCATAAAAACTTTTTTTTATATAGAAGAGGGGATAAACGAACATGCGGGTCACCTAATGGTAAGAGACTACTGACTACCGCCGCCCATGAACAACCGCAACACCAGGGGAATTGCAGGTGCGATGCCGGCCTTTTAGAAAGGTGTAAGCTCTTCTTGAAGGTCCCTAAGTCATATCGATCTGGAAAAAGCGCCGGTGGTAAACAATTCCACAGAGAAGTTGTGCGAGAAAGAAAACTCCTAGTAAAACGAACAGTGGTGGACCGTCAACCATCCAGATGATGAGTATGGTATCCTGAATTTAGAGGCGAAATTTGCCAGCTGGAATTATTCCGAACAATTCCTCAGAGCACTCCCCGTGGTAGATTCGATACAACATCCCGAGAAGTTGTGCGAGAAAGAAAACTCCTAGTAAAACGAACAGTGGGGGACCGCCAACCATCCAGATGATGAGTATGGTATCCTGAATTTAGAGGCGAAATTTGTCAGCTGGAATTATTCCGAACAATTCCTCAGAGCAATCCCCGTGGTAGATTCGATACAACATCCCTACGTAGCGCCAGTGAATCGAGTCGATCAGAAAGAACTCGTCCAGGCCTGGAAATCCCGATCTCGCCTTTGACGACTCTGAAAAGACCGAATGCCTCGCTGACAATTTAGAGAGCCAATGTATTCCCTCTAGCGAACCTACAGATCCCGCCCACCTTGCAGAGGTCGAAGCGGAGGTCGATTCTCTTTTACAATATTGCTAGACTCTGAACTTGGTGATCTAGAAAAAAAATTATGATAATTTATCAATATATTAATTTTTTACTATTATTAAATTACATTATTATGTCATCATTATCATCATCATCATCATTATTATTAAATTACATTATTATGTATTGTAATATAATTTAGAGTAACATAGAAAGATTAAAAATAACATTTCAGTCAGGTCCATTATAGTCACTTTATTTTATTTTCAGGTGTACCTCTACATTACTTTCCATGTACCGAGAAGGATGCAGAAAGGTTTCATAATTAGGTAAAGATTATTGGAGGTGGTATTGCGAGACTGGACAGTACCATTCGCAAAACTAATAGAATCTTTCATCGACACTTTCAGAAAGTTTCTTTACAGAATATTTACAGAATATATTTGCAAAAAATTAAACCAATTTTCTTACGCTCTACATGTATTATCTAAAGTAGTTAATGAAGATGCTTTACGGACGGTATATGACGGTTTTGTATCTTCTACTGTGCGCTACGGTATAATTTTTTGGGACAATGCTACAAGGCGCGAAGATATATTTAAAGCGCAAAAAAAGTGTGTGCGTGCTATTGCAAGTATACCGAGTACAGAAAGCTGTAAAACACAATTTAAAAATTTAAGTTATTGACATTTCCTGCAATGTATATTTATGAAGTTGTGACATTTGTAAAAACTAATCCTGAAATATTTAATGATTACTTAATAACAAACAATCGACGTAAAAATAAAATTCATACAATTTCATCAAAGACAGCTTTACTTAGAAAAAGTGTTTTCGGTGTACTATCTAAAATCTACAATAAGGTTCCATCTATGTTTCATGAAATGGAAAATATTCAAAATTTAAAAAACGAATTTAAAACATTTCTAATTGAGAAATGCTACTACTCAATTGATGAATACTTAAGCGACGCATCAGTAGGCGTATTATAATGGCATTGCATAAAATATTATTTTTTGACATTCGATTACACTATATATTATTGTAAATATCCTATTCTAATTAAATATTAAGTACATCATTGTTGAATATTTTAATATAAATATGATATAAATAATATATTGAAATAATTTAAATGTGGAAATGTATTAGATATAATTGTAGCTATAATATTTGTACATCTACGGGTTGAATGCAGCGAACATCATTTTTTTTACGATCTATTGTGTCTCATTACCTGTATTCACAAATAAATAAAAATTTGAATTTGAATTACCCAAAAAACAGGCTTTGTAAATTATTGGCTGTTCTACTTTTACCCTCTGCAGCCTATCAGGTAAATTAATTTTTTGACTAAGTTTATTTAATACTAGCAACCGCATTAGATTCAGACAGGTTATAAATGAATGTACAATAAATATATGTTTTTAATTAATTAATTTAATTACCTAACCAAAAAACAATATAATATGTTTTTGCAATTTGTTTTAATTACAATATATTTAATTAAAGATACGTGGAACAAATTTTTATTAGGCAACCCGGGAGTAACGTAGGTGTCATAACCATTAAACATTCATTTGAATTGAGTTTCATTAAAAAACTGGGTTCTACACTAGAATATTATAGTTTTGGAGTATTGTAAAATAATAAATTTCTTATCTTTGCTTCTCAGCACCAAGTGCACCAAGTAGGTACACCATCTACATCCCAAGGAACTCTATTGCATCGTGATGTAATAGAACCCATAACAACTAGAACTATTGAATACTTCAAGACTTCTAGTTCAGGTATGTTAGCTATTGCTTTATGATCTTACGCTGTAAGATAACTGATCTGAGTGTATCTACAAATACAAACCCTTTAAAGTTTATTTATAGTCTACCCATAGAATTATTATAGTCTACCATAATAAAGCCGAAATTCACTTTTCAATGCACCTTCCATAAACAACATTCGGCACAATTAAAACTATATTTTTATATTTTCAGTACCCTTTTTGAGACGGAAGCATTTTGAAAATAAGGTTAAAAGATTGGAGCAAACACTTCGGCAAGTTCTTAAAACCAAACAGACCTTTCGCAAAATATATCTGCTAGCGCGTACTTGTATCATCATGTGTAGTGTAGGTCAGTGCTGCTAGCAAAGATAATAAGGAAAACAAATGCATTCGAAATTGTGACCAAAAAGATGTCATCAGAAGCTAAAACTTTATTTTATATGCTTTATATTATAAGTGGTAAAAAACCTAGAGGAAGGCGTTTTACTCTTAATGAAAAACTCTTAGCACTTTCGTTATATAAACCATCACCAAAAGCATATCGCTTGCTAAGCCAGCTTTGTGTTCTGCCAAGCCGAAGAACACTTCAAAATATTTTACAGAAAGTAGGTTTAAAAAAAATATTTGAACACAAAGAAAAAAGTGTCCAAAATGCCAGAAATTTTGTTGCATACTGTTTGACGAAATGTCAATTGCTACTAATTTAAATTACGACAGGGGACACGACCAAATAAATGGTTTTGTCGACAATGGCAGCAAAAGACATCCAATATTCGCTGATCATGTGCTTCTATTTATGGTGAGGAGTTTAAAGTCGGTAGATCTGAGATATCACTTAAAAAAAATAATAGAAAACGTCCAAAACACAGGTCTTAAAGTTGTAGATATCGCCATATATACACCTACCTATAAATATAGATATATTTAATTTAGTTCATTGCTTGGCGTTCAGAGGACGCTAAATGCTAACTAAATCTGGAAACGTCAGTTGCCAGCCTATCTCCAGTATTATATATTCTATGGCTGGAGGTCATTCGATTCCCAAGCGGCAGTAGAAGAAGACTCCCAAGAAAGAATAACCAAGAAATATCCATCTAGTGTTTTCTACTGCCTACTACTTTTTTACTGCCTCATAATTATTGTAAATAGTTAATTACCACCACTTTTCTTTATACAGTCCTCAGAGAACTCAGTTTAATAGTCAAGTCAATTTAGTAAAGCTACCGAAGTAAAATCTCTCTTCAAGAAAAAAAAAAGTGCCGACACCCAACACTGTCACTATTAACCAGTTTTTCAGAGTTCTGCAAAGATAAATATGTACATTTGTTCCATTGATTTAAATAAATAATGTGAATTTAAATTGTTGAAAAGTCAGTGTCAGTAAACGAAAATATAATTTTATGTATTACCAAGCTCAAACATTCTGTTTCACCCCCAGGGGTTGAGTTATCCAAAAATCCTTTCTTAGTAGGTGTCTATGTCGAGAAAGGATGTAAGGTACACAGGGTTATTTTACAAAGAGCAGCCAAAATTTACTTAGGTTTAAATACATTATAAATAATAATATACCGTTATTGTAGTTTTTTTTTTTTTAATAAGGCTTCAACTTTGAAATTATTTCTTAATTGAATGTGATTTATGGGCAACAACATTTTTGCATACAGATCGACCCTCACAAATGTGAGCATGCTCATTACAATCAGTTTTGAATTTAAAAGATAAAAAGGGCAGAATGTTTGGGAATTTTTTTTATTAATTTGTCTTCACCATTTGCCTACATTACTTATTCTGAACCATCTCTGCAAATTTGGCCAAATTTCAAATCAACTGGGCATATTGTTTTGGAGATTTCTGTCATGTGCGAGGAAATCAGTGGTATTTCGCTTAAATATAGACATATCATCATTGTTGCTATAAGTGGTACACAGGAAATTAATTGAGAACCACTGACCTAGACTCAAATTTCGATATTGATAAGTTTGAGATTAAACTCAAAATAGTCCCAGAAGGATATTGGATGAAAAACATGTGTTAATTAATACAAATCACAAATAAATATAAGGTGCTATGCAAAAGAAAATTATCCAAATAAAATTGATCTTTTTAATTAAGAACACTTTCTCACCTATGATATTCCATCGTGACCACGCAAAAACTTTAAGATTTAAAAAGTTTCACTATTCCTGATAGAATTTTAATTATAGATAAAATAAATTCAAACATTCAATTAGTTTAATGAACTTGTTAAATTTACAAAAGATGAAAAAAATGTGTTTATTCTATTAGTTATTAAATCTATGTTTGTGTTATCCCGAACATCCTCTACAGCCACAGTGGACACATTCTACTATTCTACCCTCTTCTAACTTGCTTTTAGGTACTCTGCAGATACAGTTGGTTGCAAAATTTGTGTCCCTTGTTTGTATACATCTCAAACAACATAGATTTTCATACCCAATCTTCTTCCATTTAGCAATCAAGTTGGCATCGGCTATTTTCTCATCAAGACAGTACTGATAAAGTTCTCTACTAATAGCTTTCCTTCTATAAAACAGGTCATAGATATATCTGGATTTCTGGTGATGGATTTTAAATATGGGCCACAGAGATTCTTGTTTTCTTTTGCCTTCATGTGGTTCTGTCTCGGCTGTAAACATTTAAATGAAAGAATTAAACAAAATAAAATATAATGATCAAACACAGGTAATCTGGTTCAAACAGACAAAGCAATCAGTTGACATTTTAAATCTTTAACTTTGTCCAAAAAATGAAAGACTATTTTGTAATTTTTATTCATGTATAGTGCAAGAACAGATTTATGTCCAAATATTCAAACGCTGCTCACTTTTAAGATGCAGATAAGTTGCACGTTAAGTCAAAGTGGCTGTGACACCACGAGACTTAACATCTTAAAATTTAGTAGCATTTGAGTATTTTGACATTAGGTAATTAACTAGTTCAACATATCCAGTGCATTCTACCACAAGTCGGGTAAATAACTAGTATATTGCAGTATATAATACTAAAATAACTGTATTACATTTAAACATACTTGTAGGCCAGAGGAATAATTCAGGTAAAATTATAGACATCCAATACTTGCGTACGGGGTGGGAGGAGGTGCGTACGATGGGTGAGTTCAGGGGAAACCCCCTACCCTTCCCTCCATGGGAAAAAGTATAGTTTGAGTAATAATTTTTTTTTGTAAATTAATAACTTCACTTTTTTACACCGGAATGTTGACCAAAAGTTCTGCAACAGCTTAGGTGTTGCAGGAAGTGCAGCTCCTTCACCTATGCCTAGCAAATCGTATGCACCCATGCTCAGGGGTGACTGTCCATGGCAGGGGGCTGCTCTCCACGTCTACGGCTTTACAAAAACATTAAGGGACAAGATTATGTTGAGTAGGGGCATGTTGATTTTGATTTAGAATTGGTTTTAGTACAGATTTGACTTATCTTATCTATAGTCAGGTTGCCCTAAACTCTGCTATGATAGTGGTAAATTAAAAAAATTTTAGTAGATTATTATAATTTTGTTTCTTAAAAAAAATTGACTGCTCTCCACTGCCACTCAATTTGTTGTGTATGAGTCCCATCTTTTACGACAAATGAATTATCTGGATCCGGGTGATTAAAATCTTATGCATGTACCCATGTTAAAAAAACAGATTGACAAATTTGCACTTTTGCGGTTATATGGAATTTTTGGTGAAATTTATTTTCATCATAATTAATATAAAACACATTTACGACATCGAGAAATAGTGTAAAAGGTTCAAGCTTAACTCTGACAAGCCTCCTAAACTGAAAACATAATTAAAATCAAGTACCAGACACCTGAATTTGTAAATATATACTTAGTAAAATAATAACTCAAAATTTAATGTAAAATGTAAATTATGGATTGGCTATAGAAGAGCCAGAATTATGTAGTCTTTTAAACAGTAAACAAAAAAAAATAGTAAAGTAGTTTCTTTTCCTTTTTTAATCTGTTTTTGTGCTGAATTAGTTGATATTTATATAAAGAAGACAGAGGAAAAGTAACAATGAATTCTTACTAACCTTCTCGCATTTTTTGTTCTAACTCTTCAAGAGTAGGTTCAATGAGTTCCCATCCTTCTGGTGGTGCTTTGCGACTACGGCGAACTTTCGGCATTGTGACTACGTCAAAGTAATGGTCTAAAATTATATGGCGATTACGGCGCCTTAATAGATTTTTGATAGTCAATAGTACTAAGTAAAGTTAAAGTAATTCAAATTTATAATACGCCTTAGTCATCGAGCATTTTAGTATGTTTTTTTTGAAGTGACACTGATTTACTTTGACAGGGCAGGAAGGTGACATTGACAGGAGTAATTTGAATGACAGTAACAGTGCTTCCACTTTAATACTTTCAGTTCCCTACATATTAATGGAGATTGACATTAACACATAATTTCATATTTAATTATTATGATTTAATATTTCGCTTGTTTAAATATATCTATCGTTATCGTCGAAAAATGCTCACAAATGCACAAACTTCATTAAGGCGTGACAAACTGAAAACATTGAAATGGTACGAGAGGCACACTGAAATCACAGAGTAAAGAGTAATTTCTTTACTCATGTGCTGAAATGATCGGGAACAGAATATTTCGGATTGAGTTACAATAAAACCTTTTTTAGAATTTGAATACTGGCCTCTTAGAATCTTAATGACATTCAAACAATTAGAAAAATGTTTAAAAACAAAACCTATGTTGGTTTAAAGTTGACACTTTGACTTCAAATTTATCACAATTTTCGTCGCGGCTTATCTCAAGATAAATTCTCAGCGAACTTGTTTCGAATTATGATGTTGAAGCACCGAGTCAAACAACAATATACCGCTGGTATGCCGAGTTCCGACGCGGTCGTGTGTCGCTTAGCACTGTTTCTTCTGCAGGTATCGACGAACAACATCGCAGCTGTGCAAACTATTATATTAGATGACCGTCATGTGACATACGAGCAGATTCGGGCTGTTATCAGTATCGGAATGACTGCAATTCAGTCGATATTACATAATGAGCTGTGTGTAAGAAATCTAGTTTCCCTCTGGGTTCCGCTCAATTTGCCCGAAGAGCAAAAGGCGGCTCGTCTAGATTGGTACCGGAATACTCTGCAACGCTTCAACGGAGGGAAGTCAAATGCTGTTTATAATATCGCCTCAGGTGACGAATCATGGATTTGTTCATACGAACCTGAAAGAAAACATCAGTCAGCAGTTTGGGTCTTCGAAGACGAGGTCAAACCAACGAAAGTGGTTCGCTCCCGCAGCGTATCAAAGAAAATGGTCGCTATGTTTGTCTTGAAAAAGGGGCATGTTGCTACAATTCCTTTACAGGAACGCAGAACGGTTACCGCTGAGTGGTATATCACGGTTTGTTTACCAGAAATGATAGCCGAACTCTGAAAAAATAACCCGAAACGTCGCATCATCTTACATCACGATAATGCGAGCTCCCATACGGCTCGGAAGACAAATGATTTTCTGAAGCAGGAAAACGTTGAGCTGATGAGCCATCCTCAGTACAGTCCTGACCTGAGCCCAAACGATTTTTTTACAATCCATAGAATGAAATATTTATTACGCGGTCAACGGTTTGAAGACCCCGAAGCAGCTGTTGAAGCGTACAAATCAGCCATTTTGTCAACATCAACTTCAGATTGGAATTACTGTTTTAATGATTGGTTTGCATGAATGAAAGTGCATTAAGTTGAACGGAGAATACTTCAAAAACAATAAAATACAATTTAGCTATACCATGCATGTGGTTTTTCTTATTCTCGATCATTTAAGTGTGCCCCTCGTAACACTGTTACGGTCATCCTGAGCGTCTTTTAAATTTAAATACACTCGTTTTGTGAAACAATATTTATTTAATAAAAATATAATTATTATGTCAAGACGATGGTTCATAGCTATGATAGTATCCGAACAGGTACATGCGTTGTAGTCAAGTTATTAACAATTTCTATATTTGGGACAAAAATTATTTGTATTTATAATATTTATTATATATAACACTTGGTGCTAAATAGAAAAGCACAAAATCTGGAGTAGGTAGTAAGACAATCTAATTTAATGGCGGGGGCCGTCTAGGATATGATCACAAACTGCAGACTTCCCGGAACGTTGGTGCTTTGCGTCAGCTATGTGTTGAGAAACGTCGGGAATTAATAAAAATAAGAAAAAATAAGTTAATTAAACGCGATAAAATCCGTAAAAGTAGTTTTATTCAATATGTAGTGTTCGCGTAAATATAAGAAATCATTTTATTCCTAATTAGTTTGTGGTTCATTAATCCACCAACTTTTGGTATGCTTGCCACTAGTAGGTGGGTGAGGTAAGGGCGCTTAGATTCTTTAGTGATCGTTACTACTGCTAAAATATACAAGTACTTTGAAAATACTATAAGCTTTATCCTTATAGTGTCTTAAAAACAACTATATTTGTGTGTTATAGATGAGTTTTGTACGGATATGTTATATCAATTGATGGTCAAAAAGAATTTATTGGTGGTTATAGAAATCTGAAACAAAGAATAATGATACATCCCGTTCATATAATGATTTACGCATGATTTCCGTTCTCTAGTTCTTTTCTTTTTCTACCGACTTCAAAAAGGAGGAGGTACTAAATTCGGTTGTATGTTTTTTATGTGTGTTACTTTATGACTTTTTTCTGTGTGAACCGATTTCGATGATTCTTTTTTTATTTGAAAGCTGGTGATTCTGATGTGGCCCATATAAATTTTATCAAGTTCTGAGCAATAGTTTTTGAGTTATTCTTAATAATTTATATTGAAGTCGGTTGTTTAAAATTTTTAATTTATATTATTTTTCTCTCATCTTGAGTCTGAATTCCCCTCTAAAGGGGCATTTCTCCTCATAATGGAAACACTGGACAGTAAGTAGTAACTTTAATTATTACAATGGTATGCTTATATGCTTATAGATATTTATATGAGGTACATACTTCTTGCCAGTTTTTTATTGTTTTTTTTTTTTATAGTAGAGCGATATAATATTGAAGATGAGCTAAATTAAGAGTAAAGTTTAAAGCGCACTGACTTAGCTTAACAAAAGTCTATTTTCTCCTTGAAGACACCCATATAATTGGATGAAATTACTTATTCCACTCTGTTGTGAATGACGAAGCAAACTGTTTGATTCGATTATGTGGTATGACAACAACGGGGGGAGACCAGAAGAGCTTCTGGTGGTCCAAAGATAAAATGGAGAGGCAGGGATTAAGTCATACAATTCCTGCGCAAACTCTCCGAAATGTATCTCGTAAAAACCCGAAAGGCTGGCCTACTTTGCGTCTGTCCTCGAGGCTAGTAAGATTGGTTCTAACCACACCACCAATAAGCCTTTTAGCACGCCTTTCCATTGAGTCCAAAGCCGCTAGGTGGCATTTTGCACCAGCTCATATATAACAGTATGCACGACAGGATTTGCGTTTAACATAATGTAAGTAAGTGTCCCGGCGTGAAGTGAATTGCCGCACCTTTGCGAGAACACTTAACTTCTTTGCAGCTGCTTTGGCATCGACTTAATGAACCGCCCAAAGTTCAAGTTCGATGAAACCTCAACCTGCAGAAATTGAAAGTGGTCGGTTAATACCAATGATAGATTTCGGAAAGAAGGAGCCAAGGTGAGCTACATCTTTTAGTGTTGTGTTTTAGAGGCATTGAGTCTCACGAGTTTCGGACTACACTATAGTATACTCGTACTAGTGGACTGACTACAGTGAGACATTCACAGGTTCAACCGAAGCAGCTCTTTCGGAACTGTTGCGTGTACTTCGCTGATATTTTTTTCAACTGTGCCCATAGTATGTACGTTATCCATGTACCCATTGATAACGAGTATAAGCAAGTCATTGATATGCAGCTGGAAGAGAGTTGCGGAGAGAACGCACTCTTGATAAACTCCGGCATAAGTTGTCATAGGCTCGGAAGAGCAGCAGCAAAAAACCTTCACCTAACTGATCAAACGATAAGAAGCTAGCGTGCGTAGCCCCTGTCAAAGGCTTTCCAGACATCAAGGGAAAAAGTAATAGCATAAGTAATGGCTCGCCCCATATGTGTGTGGCATACGCTAGAACTAAAAGTTCCCCCGCCAGTCGCTGAGGAGGTCTAGATTTTCTAGCTATGCTATAAGGTGGGTGTTCAATATCTTACGATCTATAATCTTGCAGAGTATGGAATTAATTGAAATTCACCGATAATTGGCGGGTTCAGCACGGCTGCATTTTTTTTCTAGCTGCACATTGGCCAGCTTCCAAGATTTGGCCACTATTCCAGTTCTAGGGTGAGACGAAACAAGCGTGTCAACACAGGAGACAATTCGGGTGATGAAACCTTTAGTACTACAGCTGGTATACCATCTCGTCCATGAGCTTTGTTCATGTCTAGACCTCGGATGGTTTTAAAAACCTCTTTGTTAGTGATACGGATCTCCGACATAGAGGTACCGCAGTGAGGTTATTAAAATGGAACGTTGTTGCCACAGCCTAGACGTGAATTGCAAGCAAGGAGATACGCAAATAAGTCCGCTTTTTCTTTGGCTGTTTACGCTAGTGAGCCATCCGGTTTTACCACCGTAGGCAGTGTAGGCTGACAGAAATTTGTCTCGATCGCTTTGGTAAGAGATCTTTTGAATTCTTACTAAATCTTTTGATCTCTTGACGGAGATCAAAAACTTAGCGGAGAGTTTTGGGAAGTTAAAAGCTAGTTTTCTGCAAAGCTTTTTTTAATTTTGAATTATAATATAAATGGTCTTTGAGATTAAGAATCAAAATGCATTAAAAGTATCCAGTAAAAAGGGTCTCCGGTTCTCTACTCTCACCATACGAAACACAGCAGTATTAAGCAAGCAATGTATTCTGTGAGTGCGTGGGTCTACCCCGGTTGAGGCGATCCATCCGTGCTGCAACCATAATATAGCTGCAGCACGGCGCATTAAATGCGAAGTATTTACATATTAAAATTAATGGTAGCTCAAAGGCTTAGCGCTCGCTGCAAATTTCACTGTACGCGAGCAACCCGTCTTCAATCCCCGCCGGTACCAATGAAATCGTTAATTTGGAATTTTTAGTGCTGATTTAACATTGTGAGGAAATT